TTCTAATGAACAGACTGATTAAACCAAAACAGCAAACGATTACTAAACCACAAAAAAGTGATCAAATAAAAACATGTGACATAACTGAACACAAGAATCACAAAACATTACTAACCCTAATCTTAACAAACTGAAGACTACAAACAAACAAAAAAATAGCGATCCTTACAGAAAGTCTCCAAAAGATAATTTTTGAATGCACAACACAACCAAACTTGACGCAAATTGTCAGTCACAAACTATACACTAACGCAGGGATGGTCAATCCTGGTCCTGGAGGGCCTCAGCCCTGCATGTTTTACTTTTTTCTCTTCTCTAAGACACCGTACTCAGTCAGTGAATTACCTCTTCCAAGTTCTGCAGAAGCCTGAAGATCATCCATTCATTCAAATCAGGGTCTGTTGGAGAAGAGAAACCAGTAAAACGTGCAGGGCTGCGGACCTCGAGGACCAGGATTGACTATCCCTGCACTAAGAAGTGTTTCAGTCCATGTCAAGCACCCTCAGGATGAAACAACTAAAACTGGAACACCTAAAAATTGTTGAACATATGCTGAGAAACTGAAACTTAGCATTAAAACTCAGAACAATGCAAAAGGTAAACCAGGTCTAATAAACTGATACTAAAGTTCACATGTTACACAAATAGTGGAATGAGCATGAGAGTAATAATAATAATAATAATAATAATAATAATAATAATAATAATAATAATACTATCTAAGTGATGTCTTTGATGTAAAGCAAGAACCTGTTCAGTTAGGTTTGGAGGTATGGTGTGAATTAAGTTGGTTCAGGTTAGAGTTAGGAACAGACCAATAATGGATAGTTTTAGGGAAAATGTCTGGGTTTGGCACAAATACAGTTTMAAAAATGAATGGAACTCAATACAAAGTCCTCAGTTTGATGCAAGTACAAGGATGTGTGTGTGTGCGTGCGCGTGTGTGTGTGTGTTTTTACTATATCGTGGGAACCATTTTCCAGAAAAAGGTAGCCTTGTGGGGACCAAATGTGCATCTCGAAGATCAATGCCTGGTCCCCGTAGGTACGGATGCTAGGATGCTAATTTTGGGTGGGGGTTAGGTTTAGAACCAAGGTGTGAATTGAGTTAAGGTTCATTTTAGGGTCAGGTAGGTGCCAGTGAGGTTAATTTTAGGGTAAATGGTCAGATTTAGGCATAAAATTACAAGAAAATTAATGGAAGTCAATCCACACTCCCCATGTGTATAAAAACAAACCTGTGTGTGTGATTTTTTTTTTACTTTTTCCAGTGAAGGCCTATGGAGATTAGATATCTTGTCAACGGTTCCCGAGACAGGTCCTAAATTTATTGTACTTTAGAAAAGTTTATCAACCATGGTTTCTGATTCTGTTACATGGCAATTTGTGACAAACCATTACTGAATCAGCAACTCTCAGGAATAGACACCTCATTGGAGGGGTGTGTGCACAAACAAAACACATAAATAGTTTGAAAAGAGAGATTAACACATTCAGACCAACTAAAAAACATGGAAGGAGGGTAGGATTCTGTGTTCTTTAAAACTCTCTAACATGTCGGTTTTCATGTGTTAAATGCTGTGGCTTTTAGAACAATAGTTTTGTTCCAGCTTTACTTTTTATTTTTTTAAATATTTTATCTATTTTATCAATATTTAATGTCTTTTACAAATCCAACTCAGATGAACACCACAGTGAAGCTACCAGACCAGGGGTTCCCTTGGTTAGTGTTATCTACCATCGTGACAACGCTGCCATGCTGTGTGTTTCTTTTCATCAATGTGACCACGTTGTACACTTTGAGGAG